AAAAGGAGGGAGCATTTCCAAAATACCAGCACCCTTATACCAAAACCAAATAAGCACTACCATAAAAGGTTACATTGCTAAAAAAAAATCCTTAAAAACAAAACAAAAACATAGCAAAATGACAACTAAAAAGCCTAACATGAGCCAAGAAGACAGCTCAGCTGCCAAGCCTGACAACCTGAGTTTGACCCTCAAAACCCAAATGGTAGAACTGATTCAAGGTGTCCTCTGATACACACAGACACAATAAATGTAAAATTAAAAAAAATTACTAGCCAACAGAATTCAACAACACTTTAAAAGGATTATGTAGGGTTGGAGAGATGGCTCAGTAGCTAAGAGCACTGGTTGTTTTTGCAGAGGATCCTAGGTTCAGTTCCTTGCACCTGCATGGCAGATGACAACCATCCTGTTAATTCTACTTCTAGGGGACCAATGCCCTCTGATGGTCTCTATGGGTACCAGGCACACATGAGGTGCACATACATACATACATACATACATACATACATACATGTATATAGGTAAACATTCACACATATAAAATAAAAATAAAGCTTTTCAAAAAGTATCTAATTCAAAAAGTATTAGATACTATGTCATGATCAAAAAGGATTTACTGACAGAATTTTAGGATGACTTAACAGAGTAACAATGACAAAAATCTGATAGGTTGGAGAGAACTTAGTTGTTAAAAGTAGATTGCCATGTTTGGGCCCCAGGATCTATGGAAAGTCATGTGTGATAGTGTACATTTATATTTCCAATACAAGGGAGGAGGAAACAGGTGGGTGCCTGGGCCTTATCAGCCAGGCAGCCAAGCTTATCTGGAGAGTTCCAGGACTGTCACAGACCCTTACTCTAAAAACATGGTGGATGATGCTTGAGGAATGCTCCTCAAGGCTGTCCTCTGACCTCCACACCAATGTGCATGTATCCACCAACAGGCACTCATGCACATGTACATCTGTACAATTTAAAAATGCATACATACATCAGTGAAATGTACACTATCAAGACGAAGAAAATGATACAGAAAAATCATTTCATAAAATTCAATGTTCTGTCATAATAAAAAAATAAATTAAAAGTAGAAGGAAGGTCAACAACGCAAAGCCACACATGAAAGTCTCCCACCATACTCCGTGAAGAATGACAAAGCTCTTTCTTTAGTTCCAAGAACAAGACCAGGATGCCCAGTTCATCACTAGTACTTAACCTACTACTAGAAATTCTAACAATCAGGCAAGAGGAAGTGAGAGCTATCCAAATGGAAAGAAGAGGTTAAATTACCAGCTGCATGTGTTCATCAACAATGATCCTAACAATATATAACAACATCACAAGGAATAAATATACTTAGGAGTAAATTCAATCAAGGACTCTAAATGAAAAGACAGTTCTGTTTAAGAACCAGAAGACTTAACATTGTTAAAACTCAGTACTTCCTCGAATGGCAGATGTAACACAGTCTCTGTTGAAAACCCACTGACAGCTACAGACAAGTCATAGAAAACCTTAAGGAAGCCCAGAGAGCCAAAACAATATGGAGTAGAAAAGTGGAGGGGACCAGCAGGATGGTTCTTCAGGTAAAAGTGTGTACAGTACAAGCCTGATGACCCAAGTTCAAGCCACAGAACTCAGGGGAAGAACCTAGTCCTCACAGTTGTCCTGACTTCTAGATGTAGCTGTGGGACATGTATGTACATATTCATACACTTTCCCCCTTAATTTCAAGGAATCCCAACAACCAAAACAATATTGAAGAGTGAATAAATCACATTACTTGACTTCAAAATTTACTATAAAGCTCCAGTAGTAAAAAACAGGATAGAAAACAAAACAAAAGGACTAGAGTAAAATACAGAAACAAACCCTCATACTGCCCAATAAGTTTTGATAAGGGATCCAAGAACAATGAGAAAGGGTCAGTCTTTGAACAAACGATGTAAGGCCATCAATATTCACAAGAATAAAAGTAGACCTTTTATAACACAATTATCTCAAAATGTATCAGACTTAACACATAGGGCCAAAGTTAGGAAATTCATTTTTAAAAAGCCCAAGGTAAAGCCTTAACACCCATACATAAAAACAGGCTGATGAGATAGCTCAAGTGGTCAAAATTCTTGCTACTAAAGTCTTACAACGTATCTCATCCTTAGAATCCAAGTAAATAAAGGTGGACGGCAAGAACTCCATAAACCACGGTACATATGTCCCCAGCCCCCAATAAGTTAAAAAGTAGGTTTCTAGAATAGTCTAAATCAGAGGCAGAAAACAGAATAAAATTGTCAAGAGCTGGTGGTGTTTGTTCTTTGAGGCAGGATCTATGCAATCTTAGCCAGCCTGGACCTCTCTATATAGACTAGGATGGCTTTGAACTCAGGAATTGTCCTGCTTCTGTACACTTAGTGCTGGGATTAAAAACATGCACTACTGTGCCCAATCAGTACAGCTAAATTTTGTAAGTTGAAGCTTTCTAGAGATGGCTTATACAATGTAAACCCAGCCAATGCACCTAAACTGTGCAGTTAAAAGTGGCTAAGACACTTTTTTTTTTTTTTTGCCAAATGAAAGCATTTAAAAAAAAAAAGCCCCAAACCAAACCAAAAAAAAAAAAAAACAAAACAATCTAACCAACCAACCAAAAAACCCTGAGTGACTACCCATTCCATACAAGAGGTCAAATATGATCAATCCTTGAGACAAACTGTCTCAAGCGGCCAAGGCTGGCTTTGTATTTGCCATGTAGCCAGGCCAGGTTGGCAAGGTGACAGGCCAGATTTGTGGTATTGAGGATGGAACCTAGGCTTAGTGCATGCTAGGCAAGCACTCTACCAACAGAGCTGCATTATATACTCCCTACAAACCATGGGTTGGTTGGTTGGTTGGTTGTATTCTCCGACAGGGTTTCTCTGTGTAGCCCTGGCTGATCTAAAACTCAATCAGTAAAGCAGGATGGCCTCAAACTCAGAGATCCACCTGCCTTGATTCCTGAGTGCAGGAACTAAAGGTGTGCACTGCCTGGCTACAAAGCATGTTTTTAAGAGAAATATGCTTAGATATGGAGCTTAAGAAGAAAGGTTGTTGATAAACTATACTCATATGCTCTGCAAAAGAAATGATGTATACAGAACATAATAAACTGTGACAACACTGAAAAATGTTGAAGGGTTCATGGGAGCTAATTTTAGTATTCTGAAAATTATAGTAAATGGAAATTATGAAGGCAATGAATGAGTCAAGCCTTGGGATCCCCCCCCCCAAATCCACACAGCAAAGGTAATTTATTATAAAGAAATTAGCATTTTTCCCTTTAAGTATCATCTCCTTGAACAGGTTATGGGTTTATCATCTGCTGGTTATATTATTTGGACAAACATCTCGGTGCTAAGTGAAGCTCATCCCAAGACACCAAAATAACTCTTAAAAACTTGCTTTTCATGTTCAGAACTGTTTTGAGTTCCTTAGATACTTTTAGTGTTTTTAGTTAATAAAATTAAACAAAGCCAGAGGTAGTCTGCCACCACCTAGTGCTTAACTGTTGCTTTGTAAGGTCTTTCTGCTTCACACTCCATTTGCTCTTGCATGCTGAGTGTACTGACGGTCTTTAAGAGGCTCGCTTTCTCTTTCTTTCTTTCTTTCTTTCTTTCTTTCTTTCTTTCTTTCTTTCTTTCTTCCTTCCTTCCTTCCTTCCTTTCTTTCTTTTCTTTCTCTCTTTTTTAAAGACAGGGTTTTCTCTGTGTAGCCCTGGCTGTCCTGGAACTCACTCTGTAGACCAGGCTGGCCACAAACTCAGAGATCTTCTTCTGCCTCCAAAGTGCTGGGATTAAAGGTGTGTGCCACCACACCAGGCTTGAGAAGTTCTTATGGAGTGTTTTAGTCCACATTCCTTCAATTGTCCAAAGGCCATTGTGGCCAATACTACTCTATTTTTATGATCAAGGCTCCAGTTTGTATCAGATGGTTTAAGTAATTAATGAGTTACGGATAAAACTTTCTTGATCTACAGAAATCTTTCATGATTTTTAAGAATTCTCAAAACTGAATTAAGAAACTATAGTTTCTCCTTTTCTATTTGTCCAATTGCTATATGCAACTGAGAAATTTTCAATTACACTGAGTTTCTTAACCTTTTCTCCCCACAGCTTAACTCCCCAAACTTAAAGAGAAATAAAAAGTATGTCTGTTGTATTTCAAACTCTACTGAGATACCATCTTTATTTGAATAGTCTTTCTGAGTCACTCAGGCTGTTGGGAGAGCTCCCAATATTCCTGCCTCTGTCTCCAAAGTGCTGAGTTTGGTATACAACTCAATTCTGATGTCAAATACTCAGCTGTTGATGTAAAAACCGACAGTTCTAGAGATCAGATTTCCTCCACACGACTGTCCCAACTTCAGACATGGGCTGCAAGTGATATCTTTAGACCATGAAAACTCCAGGGTAGCTATAAAAGTTCCCAAGAATTTCTTAGTTTAAAACTTTGTTGAGTAACCCACAGAACTCAGAAAAGCACTATGTCTTTCCATAAAAGGTTATAGTTATGACTGGTCTTATTAGAAAAGATACAAATTAAGCCAACCAGGTCAATGAAGATTCAGTAGTATTGAGGGTGGTGCAGAGCTTCCGTGCCTTCGTTCTCCTGGCACATCAACAGAGCTGCAGTATCCAGAGCATGTCTTGCATGCAATCCAGGCTAGCCTCAAACTCATGATCCTTTTATTTCGACATCAGTCTCCCAAATGTTGGGATTACACGTGTGCTAGGCACCTGCGTGTCCAGAGTTCTTTTCTTTACTGGGGCTTCAGAGGCACGACTGATTAATCACACAGGCAATGTGACTAAGCCAAGCATATTTCTGTCGACTAGTCTTAGAGCAAACTTATGACCCTACGATGAGCCAAATCAAGAGTATAGCAAAGATAGTTCAAGAATTCTAAAGGTTTGAGATATTCCTTGTTAAGAGTCAGGGAAAAAGGCCAGACAAATTCCTCATTATATCACACTTATGTATTGAGAAGGACTTTTGATCTCACAAAGAATAGTCTCTAAGACAATGATGAGACAACCCCCCAAAACCATAATGAAATTTTATTACGTACAGTTGATAGAAGCAGGAGTAGTAAGTACTCTTCTGTACAAAGCAGACAACTGGTCTTAAATACAACAGAGAAAAATGTTAGTCCTACAACAACAGATGATACAAATGGAACCGCTTAGAGACACACTAAAACATTGAAAAGTATCTTCTTTCTCGATAGTCCACTGTGCATTTTTTTAGAGATGGGGACACGTGCCAGGCAAGGTCACAATGGCATTTTATTGCCCTCGATGCTGATTTTCACTGCATGTGCAGATCTGCTTTTTTTCCTGATATCTGTGAACTTTCTCATCTGTTTATCCAGTCGACTGATACCTTTCTTGGAGGTTGCCTGAAACTAAGATTGGGGAAAATTGAAGAACAAATTATTGAAGTATGCAAATCTAGCAGTCAGAAGAGCCTGAAACTTAACGATAACCAAAACATGCTTTGGAGACAAGAACAAAGTGTTAGGAAAAAACTATTGAACTCTCAGCGACGATTAACTGGTTATTGTCTGTGCTTTACTTTTAATTTTGCCACAATCCATAGAAACTTCCCAAATGACAGAAGAGGGAAATAAGAAACTATAATCTTCCCAATCTTACCACTGACATCTGACTATATGGGGCTAACTACCCCATATAATTTCAAACAGACAGGTGCTTCTCTTTTACTTCTCTCCAAATATTTACTACTGAATTCCCTCCAAAGCTGTAACCTCAGAAACACTAAGAAGATAAGTAAAACTCTCTAGAACTTCTGTAGTGTGAGCCTTCTTAGTCCATTCAGAGACTTAGCCTCACCCTAATATACAAGTAGTTGATCATTGGGCAAGGAACAAACTTTCTACGGCATTCTTCAAATTTTCTAGGAATAGCCCAATTCCAAACTTGGCACTAGTACTCTCAGCATAAAAATTCACTGTCAGATGAGAAAAGGTTTTATTACCAGCATACCATTCCTAAGCCTTCCTTTCATTTTGTACAAGGAGTTGGTGGAAGCCTTACTGTTCAAATCTCTGACAATTACCCGACTCCCTGAAGCTCCACATACCAAGCTGGATGTCTGTCTGTCCACTCCCAGGATCTTCCCTTAACAGTTTGAACCCTCCAGGATCTGTCTGGCACTGGTACCAGGAACACACCAAGGTCAGTGCCAGACTGCTCCTGCTCATGGCATATATCTAGTCCACAGACTTCTCAATGATTGACATTTCAGTACCTAACATGTCAAATCCAGTATCTTCATTTCCTGCTTCTTCAACTCTGTAACATTCCTTTGGATATTAGGAAAGCCACAATGTTTTATCAAGTGGGGAAAAAAGCCTTTAGAAAACTAGCAAGGAACATAAGGAACATTTGCTAAAAAAAAAAAAAAAATTAAAAAAAATAAAAAATAAAAATGGGGGGGGTTGCACAGCTACATGGTTAACACATAGTAAATCATTAAGAATGGGAGACAGATGGAATTTTGTTATATTAAATTAAAACCAAATCCTGAGTATGATCACATTACAGACCACAGACCAAACATTTTTTAAAAGGCTAAAGTTCATGCATGCATAAAAAGGAGCAAAAATCCAGAATGTTAACTTACAGCGAGAGAACAAATTATATATTCATTTTATCTGTAATGACTGTATTGTAAAACTTTATACAAAAAATATGCATTGCTGCCACCATTTTACTATTACTTTTTTTAAAAGCCCCATCATTCACAGGCGGATGGATCTCTGAGTTTGAGGCCAGTATAATCTACATAGAAAGTTTTGGGCAGCCAAAATATTCTCTCTCAAAATAAAGTTTTGTTTTTGTTTTTTTGTTTAAGACTTACTTATTTTATGTATGTGAGTACACTGTTGGCTCTATTCAAACACACCAGAAGAGGGCATTGGATCCCATTACAGATGGTTGTAAGACACCATGTGATTGCTGAAAGTTGAACTGAGGACCTCTGAAAAAAACAGTGCTCTTACCCGCTGAGCTATCTCTCCAGCTCCAAAATAAAGATGTTTAAAAAAAAAAAAATCAGAAATAAACAAATAAGTATATATTCACATAAATCACAAAGACTATTATATAGCCCTTAAAAATAAATCTCCTATGCAGATTAACGAGGAGAAATGAACAAAACAATAAGCCAGTCTGGCTGATAGAGCTAAATTTTGGCAGCCTAGATAAATATCAGCAAATTATGATTGGAAACACAGGAAGGGAGCTCTCCTTCACACTGGAGGAAATATATAGCTCTCCTACCCACTCTGCCCACAAGGATATGGCCCCATAAAAAGCAATAGATGATGGGCACATGGCCCTAGAAACATGAACCGTGCTTCCAGAGCAGGCTGGCCAGCAAACTTTTATTACATTTTTGTGGCTGCATTGTCATTTCCAACTTTCAAAAACAAAAATATTAGAAAAGGAAATATAAATAAGGTGACTAAAATAAGGGAGGATATAGTGAGAAAATGTAAGGAGGTTAAAAAAAAGAAGTAAGTATAAGAAGGAATAGCAAGGAGAAGTGGCCATTGACTTAGATATGGAACCAGAAAAAAGGAAGTCTGTGTGAGGAAGTATATCATCTACATAAAGCCCATCTCCTTTACTTATTTTCAGTAGTTAAGAGCACATCATTGGGGCTGGAGAGATGGTCCAGCAGATAAGAACACTAAATACTCCTCCAGAGATCAAGAGTTCAAATGTCAGCAACCACATGGTGGCTCACAACCATCTGTAATGAGATCTGATGCCTTCTTCTGCTGTGTCTGAAGATAGCTACAGCGTACTTATATATAATAAATAAATAAATTTAAAACAAAGAGCATATCATAGCAAGAACATAAAGGAATTGAAGGAAGCTGAGGGAGAAGCACAAAAAGCAACAAGATACTGTGCTCAGCAATGATCTCTTGATCTCAATGTCACTGGCTTATGACCAGGTGATAAATACCTGTTGAGTTATATCGACATATCCAGTAGGTGTTAACTAATGAACTCTTGATGAATGCTATTATGTCACTGACTACAGGAAAAAAGTCACTACTTGTGCACCAACAAACCACTAAGGCAGTTTGTATACCTGTAATGCAGACTATGATTCTAGGTCCAAATAAAAAGGCTTTTTCAGCTGGGTAGTGGCGATACACACCTTTAATCCCAGCACTCAGAAAGCAGAAGCAGTTGGCTCTCATGTTCAAGGCCTGCCTGGTCTACACAGTGAGTTCCAGGGCAGTCAGGGATACACAGAGATAGCCTGGGTTTGGGTATGAGTGTGCTCTTCTTACAAAAATTGCTAACAATCAGAACAAACAAAATGTTTATTGGGAAAGTAATGACCTATTAGTCTCTTTTGTTATTGACACAGAAGGGGACCTCAATGCCAATTCCTAAGGATTCAGAGGCTTAATGACTCTGAATGCTGGCCAGGATTAATTTTTTCAGAAGCTGATTTCAGGCCAGGCTTTTTTTTAACCCAAGAAAGCACATACTTGTTTCCACTCTGCTGGCAATTCAAGCCCATGCACAGCTCATGCTTCCTTGGGAATACCTCTTATATACACATTCTGGAAGGGCCAGGACTACAGGGGCATCCTGTTGCCTTCAATGCTGAACTTGACAGCACGGTGCATTTTGCTGAGCCTCTTCTGTTCTGCAAACCGCCTCTTATGCTTTTCCAATCGACTTAGGCCCTTTTTAAGAATACCAGGCTAGAAAGAGTGGTTTGATGGAAGAAAAAGATTACCAACATTTGTGTAATATCTTCACTGATAATAGGAAAAGTGTCTATTGTAACAATTTCACAACAGAAATGTTTAAGCAGATGGAGAGAAAGAGAGGTGAGGATCCGAGAAAGCAGGTTAATTCTATTTCTCATGATTCTCTAAGTGAATGAATGAATGAATACCTAAGAGATCTCAAAACAGATCTCTGTGAATCAAACCCTAACTGCTATTAATACTATTAAACACAAAGAAGGGAAAACAATTTAAATGGTCCTGCTCTTCCTCTGCTCACTCACCCTGGATGACTCCATTTCAACATTCCACTTGGGCCTGACAACATAGTCCTTGTTTGATGGCATTGGGACTCTCGCACGAGCACAGAATCCAGGATCTCCAGGTCTAAGAGCCCTGAGGAAGGAAAGAAAAACACATACTGCTTACTTAGTTGGCCACAGCAGGGGTTAAATGAGATTTCACCCTTTTATTCCTAGACCAACCCCATTCAGCTACAATATTTCAGATCTTAACCACAGACCACCTATCTACCCCTCATTACATGGCTCCTCAATGATAATTTCCTCTTTATTTGTATGAATTCTTGCTTTTCCTTGGCTTTAGATGTTATCATGCTCTGTCCTTTCCAAGGCTAGTCTCAAGAAAATGTTTTCTTAAATGTATGTGTCTGAGCATTCGCCTTCATCTATGCATATGTACCACAAGAAAAAGGAGTCAGATCCACTGGAGCTGGAGTTACAATGTGAGCCACAATGTGAGTGCTGGGAACTGAACGGAGGTCCTCTGAAATAACAGCAAGCGCTCTTGAGCCATCTCTCCAGCTCCAGAGTACTCCAAGTCCTAAGTTTTCTAACCAAGTCTCATGAGTCACCAGGAGATGAGGAAAAATTAGGTTGTTAAAACGATCCCCCAAAGCTTCATGTATCCCCATAATTTCCCAAAGCTTCATGAATGCTCAGAGTTCACAAGGTTTTGCATACACAATTCATACCTTTTGTTTCTTCTTATAGAAAACTTGTGAGGTCACTATAAATCCTCTAGCAACTATATGAAGTAACAGGGAGATCCCAGTGTCTCTCTCAACATTAACTTTCCAAACTACAGCATATCACAGCCAGGACACAGATACAACCTATTTATCTTATCTTCTTAGCTTTACTCAGTACAAGTTTTACTTGTGCTTATCTTTAGTTCTAACTTTGACAATAACCATGCTACACTAAGATCACAATTCTCAGTGAGTCAAGCGCCTCTGTCAATGTCCGAGCATTTCAGCCATTCAGTCCTTTGGAACTCCCCTAAAGGAGCAGGGAGCAAACATCCATACTCTCATCTCCAGGCTTGGTTGCAGCATGCACTGACACATCTTCACTACTGCTCCTCAGCTACACTCCTTTGCCGACTTGGTTAGCTCAGCTTTTTATTCTAGACTCTAAATGAACATTTATCCCAGTTTTGGATATAACCATCAAGCCTATGTATCTAGCCTGACTAGACTCGATGGTGTTTCCAAGAGTATGGAAGGACTAGAAAAATAACTAATTTCTTCAAATCATACTTAATCTTCCTAAGTTTTGGCAGATGGTTATATTACTGTCTCTATATTCTGGTTTAAGTCTTCAACTGTAAGCTAACTTCTCCCTAAATATGTCACTAACTCTAAGCAACTATCTCTACCATGTCTTCTCAGCCTCTGTTGCCCTACTACTAACACTATGTAACTGTATCACTGCCTTCAGCCCACTGCTCTAGCCTGTTCAAATGATGTCCTCAGAGCCAGAATTTCTAATCAAATATGACAGTTTCACATATAAACTCAAAACCTTCTGCTAAATCATAAAGAGAAGCAAATATCCCACATTTTGATCTTAGGCACCTGCTGGTTCACACCTGCATCTCTAGGATCTCACACTAACACCAATTCAGCACAACTGCCATTTTGAAACCAGGATTGCACACGATAAACCCAAACATCTTGGTCTACATCCCGTGAAACTACTTGACAGCATGGGAAAAATTTAAAGTTCTTTTGTATTCTTTAAGCTTTACATTTAAAAGGATTCTAACACTTACCAATCAACAACAAAATACTTGTTAAATGAACTATCCTCTTAATTCTTCAGAGCACACAACACACTGTTTTACAATTATTCAATAAATATTAAATTGAAAAAATTACCCTTTGTCAATGAGAACACAAAATTTAATACTGTGCTTATAATGAAGTAAAAAACAAAATCTTCTCTATATACTAAGAAAGATCAAGACAGAACTCTTACTTTTCCTCTCCTGTTAATACCTTCTCCAGATCTCTTCGTGGTGTCTGACCACCAGTGCTGGAAAAAGAGCAAACAGTCAGATATCAGAAATCTCAAATTCTTAGAACTAGGAGAGAGCATGTCAAAATACCACATTATACCATAACTAATATATTTATATTGAACCATAAAAAACAATTAATTAAAAGTATGCGTGTGAGGGTATGCATGTGGCAGTCAGAGGATAACCGGAGTTAGTTTTCCTTCCACCTTTACTTGGGTTCTGCAGATCACTCAGGTTGCTGGACTTGCATAGCAAGTGCCTCTTTGCTCTGAACCATCTTGCTGGCCTGAGAACTTGTCATTGTTTTAAAGTATTGTTCACTTAAACTGTCATTTGTGCAAGAGGTTTCATTCTGGGTGACCTACCCAAACTATACTTAGAACTGATAACCCTGCCCTTCTAGAATATATCTAGAATACTGACAGATTGAACCAATAATATTTTTTTCCTCCTATGGTTTTAGAACTGGGGCTGAGAAAGTTGTTTTCTGCAAATGGCTAGAACACTACAATCTCTAGCACTATGGGATAGCATATTGCATTCAGCTGTCCCAGAAAGGTCTTCCCTAAATGCCATTAAACTACACTTGTGCATTCATACCTGTTCCCTCATACCTGCTCATTCTTCGTCGCTGCGGCATTTGTTCTAGATCTCTCTGCTCCCTTTCTTCTCTTGTCATACCTTTATAATTTGAGGTAAGACCAAATATGGGCCGAGACCACTCATCTGCAAAAAGGGAAAATAACAAGTATTTAGTTCACAAAATAGCATTTTCTCCCAGGCTTTTAAATAATCATACCCTAATACTGGGCAGTATTATAGACATTTATAGAGTATTTCTTTTTTAAATGTAGAGCATGAGAGAATGAAAACAAACCTAGAGCTTACAATCAACATGTACTTCAGTTAGGATCTAGATTTCTCTGTCATGAACAAGGAAGCATACAAAAAGGTCTTGGAGGCTGACAAGAGCAACTGTGGCTAACTTCCTTGATAGTAGTGCTCTCTACCTATCCTCTCATTTAATCTTTATAATAACCCAGAGAAAACAAAGAACTATTAGTATCTCTTTATTACAGAGGTGGAGACTCTGTAGGTTAGGTTACTAGCTGAGGATTTGCAGGAAGGTGATGGAGTCAATACTATAAAGCAGGCATGGCTAACTCCAGGGCCTGCATTCTACCCACTCTCCAGCTGAAGACATGTTTTTAATTGTTGTAGTTAATGCTGGAAAACACATTTAAATAGTCTTAAAAACATTTTAAGCATAAGAGAAAAAAGTTAACACCTGTATTGGGGCACTAAAATGTTTCTAGTCCACTTTACTGAATCATTTACAGTTCTTATATATGCACCTCTCTCTAGACATTAAACAACAAGCAAACTTCACATACTGATTAATTTCCCTGCCATATCCTTGTTGGACCTTGATTCCTTAGGGTGTTTATATAGATACATCACTGCTCGGCCAATCCCACTATGCTTCAGGGTCTCTTGGCTCACACTAGGTAGCTGGGGAACAAAAACATATACATGCATATTAATTCACTCATAAGCTAGGAGGTATGTTAATCTTCAAACCTTCCTTCATTCACATTAGAACTAGTACAAAATTCCATTTTCAGGATCTACAAAGACATGGAACATCCTTTGTGCTGACATCAAAAGTCAAGATTTTAGTATTAGTGTAGTAAAAACTAACAATGTGAAGAAATATGAACTACACATACTTAAGAGGACAACAGCTCAGCCCAGGCTGTGGAAAGCAACAAATCTAAGCCTGAATCTAAGCACAGCCATTTGCTAGCTACATGGCTTTGGAGAAATGATCTAACTTGTCTTAGTTTCCTCATCTATAAAATAGAGGCAGTATGTCTAACTTTACAAGTTTTTTGTAAAAAACCAATTAGCTAATACACAAAGCACCTAGCACAGTATTTCATACACTGAAGGGCCTTCTGAGTTTCTTCAGATGTTAAGCAACTTGCCTAGCGTGTTCTAATCATACCAAAGGGAACCCCACTAGAGATTCAGTTGAACTTTATCATCTCTAAATGCAGTGCACTTTCTACTTCAAGTGCCTCTCTACGATATGATCACTACTGGACTGCTCTTCTAAGAAACTGCTGGCTGCACTAAGAACTCTTTCCTTGAAAACTGTCACTAACCAAGTTTTATAAGGTTTTGGTTTTTTGTTTGTTTTTAATGTTCACTTTATTAGGTACAGCCACTTTTCCCAAACCCCTTTTCTGGCATGCTGTAGCAGAACAAAATTTGTAAGTAAATGGCACAAAATACAAGTCTTGACTACAGAGACCACATCAGATACTTAATAAATTACAAATTATCTGTAGCTGACCTCTTGCAGAATCTTTAACAATTCCTCCCGAATCTTCAGTGCAGGCAAACTCCTATCTGGTAGAGGTGAGAGCCATTCTTTAATGGCAGACATCACACCACTGTCAATAAATGTTTCTTTAAGGTCCTGCCTACAAACAGCAATGATAACAATGATGAACACAGTAACCATGCCAAGTCTATAGTCCTGATTTTATTTACATAGTAACATCTCAAACTGCTTTTAGAGAAAGTCTATTTATACTTACTGTTTACTCAACCGCTATTCTAGTTTGAAAAACAGTATAAGAGTTAGTTTCCAGAACTGTACAAACTTGATAAAGGTTAACTTGCTAAGATATGCAAGCTTTACAAAACAGATTAACACCAATATTAATGATACAGATGGTAAAAAAATAATGAAGCCCAATTATTACTAAAAAAGAAAAAACAATCTGAAGCCCAATTATTACTAAAAAAGAAAAAACAATCCATTAGAATAGTTTCATAGAGGGGAAAATATCTCAATTAAACACCAATATTTAAATTCTGCTTTATATTGTGGAATAAACTAGAAAATGCAACATATCTATGTGAAATCTGCCAGATAGCTTTGCCTGCCTTAGTGGAAAAAGCAGTTCCAATTAGCTCATTGGTGTGCTATAGCATTTCTTCAACTAACAAAAATAGGCTGTCACTTTACTCAAAGAAAAAACAAAGTTGCTCGCGACTACAGCAAATTAATGAAAGAATTCCCCAACACAGATTTAGGAAGAGCTTCATTAAAAGAAGAACAATGACTGTGATGTACAAGATTAAATGAATCTGCAGCACATAAACTGTAAGCAATATCTCGTAAGACTTGCTGTTTCCAACTACCATGGGAAAAATAAATGAAAATTTACAAGGTCTCAATTGTCTGTAAAGAATAAAATCAGTAAATTTCCTCAGGTTTTCTTTACTATTTCTAGTTTTCTGTTTGTTCTGTTTGCAAAATGCATTAAGATTTAAAAAAACAAAACAAAAACACCTTATAAGCCAGGCATGGTGGCACATGTCTTTAATCCCAGCACTTGGTAGGCAGAGAGGCAGGCAGATCTCTGTGAGTTCAAGGCCAGCCTAGAAGTTTCAGGACAGCCAGAGTTATATAGAGAGACCTCGTCTCAAAAAACAAACAAAAACAAAAAAACCCCAAAATGTAGAACATTTCTACAGAACAAGAACAGTAACTGAGGGAAATTTACTCGTCCCTGATTTCTATGGCCCAACAGAAGGATGTAATTATTTAATAGATCTAAAACAGTGTATGGTTTGAATATTTTATTAAAAGAAAAAATTCCAAGAAAACAAAATACTTACTTTTTAAGGTGCATAACCACAGTAGGCAATAAGGTTAATTTTTTCAGAGCTGGCTTTTTTTGATTATTCAACTGCCTGTCTTCCTATTCAGAAAACAGACCCCCCCATCAAAAAAAAAAGTTTAAAATAAAGTAACATTAACTCTTAATAGGCAATTATAACCACTACAACTCTGAACCTTAAAATAGAAATTATGTTCTAATAAGAAAGCAGAAATTGTTTGCACAAAGTCAAACTCCTTATCTGTTCAGTCCATCAAACCTATAAACTTGTTACATCGCTTTTTTAACCATCAGAACCGGGAGGCACGATGTCATTTTCAGTACTGACAAGTTTTCAAGTTTTTGGAGTTTATTCTAGTAACAAATTATAGCTGGGAAATTTTGGTTTTTCTTCAAGAATTATCTTTCTAATGAGGAAGGATAGTATGACCTGTTACCAAAAATATCTATTTGAATAATTCCTACTTTTTATACACTTTAAATCTGAATAGACATCAACTTCTGGTTCTGTTTGTGGACGAGACAGCTATGAAAACAAACTTCCCATTCACTTAGAAACGATTCACCTTTACTTATGACTTCTTTTCCTAATCACGTGGCTCAATCTTTATAGTTAAGATTATTTATGGAATTAAAACTTAGGAAGCACAATCTTTATTACAGAAAGCAAGGAACCTTTTATGTAGTCTAAGCTTAAACATTTAAAGAAAAAAATGCTGCAACATCAGTTGGGTTGAGGGTGGGAGGGAAGAAAAGGTAGCCTAGAAGAGACTCTTACCTCAGCAGCTTCATTCATCTTGACAATCATGGCGCTCACAACATCATCTGCATCACTAATAAAAGTGCCCCCATCTCGATTTCGTCTGCGTTTGCCACACATGCTCTTTTTTCGTTGTAACATCATCTCAAAATCTGACAGAAAGTCCATACTAGGCAGCAACACAAAATCAAGCTCTTTAATCACACAGCTTCTTTAATCAAATTAAGAACACCAAATTGCCCAGGCAGTGATAGCACATACCTTTAATACTGCGCTTGGGAGGCAGAGGCAGGTGCCAACTCTTAGAAGTTTGAGGCCAGCCTGGTCTGCAGAGAGAGTTCCAGGACAGCCAGGGCTACACAGAGAAACCCTGTCTTAAAAAACAAAAGAACACCAAGTTGTCTAATCTTGAGTCAAAGAAGTATTACTGTTGATTAGTTTTAAGACAAAGTTTCTTTGTGTAATTTTGGTTGCCCTGGAACTTACTACATAGACCAGGCTGGCCTCAAACTCAGAGATGTCCCTTCCAAGTGTTGGGATTAAAACCACGAGTCACCATCACCCAGCTACATATTTTAAAGCTCACAGATGCATAACTTCCTATCACAAAAAGAGGACTTTATGTCAGTTCTTCTACCCACTGCAAACATTAATCACCACAGGGCCTAAGTTTTTCATAGGCCACACTCATACCCGTTGTCTATTAGCTTGAGAAGGAACATCTCAAGTCCTCAGTCAAGAGCAGTCAATTTAGGTATACTGCCTTTTGACGAATAGGAAATGTTCAATTATTTCAACGTTTTTGTCTTATGAACCATGACTAGAAAAACCTTAACCACTACTTTTTAGTACTGAAGAGCACAGGTGAAAACACAGTGACTGCAGGCATACTAAGTGCCTGCGCTCTACAGCTCCCCACACTTAGACCAAGAGAGTGCTACCTCACTCTGCCACTCCTCATGCTAATAAATCCAAAATTCGGAAAGCAGCACCCAAATATTGCTGCTTAATTCTTGCATATCATTAAAGAGAAACTCTACTTGCTAAAGCATAATCTTTACAACTGTGCACAGTGTTTAGTCTATGCTCCCATCCCCCTCATAGCATCATCTCTTTGTGGAAATGGTTCAAAACTATCTTAACAAAAGTAAGCAAAGTATAATTAAGAAACATTTTAGTGTTGACTTTAGATTTATTTCCCCTACCACCCAAAATGAGCTTCCCATCCCCTCAAATTTTTTTCATATTAGGTTATTTTTCAGTAGAGTTTATCTTGCAAAAAATAGATTAGGAGGGCCATGTTAAATTTAAGACATCTGAGCTAGAGCAAGCAGCAGCAACTGATTCACTAATACTATATAGAAGAGGTGATGGGGGGCGGAGCAAAGAAAGAAAGAAAAAAGAAACACAATCTTCCAAATCTGGAAACCTAGATAAGAAACAGGAAACCTCAATAGTCTCTACCTTCACTTTTCTCATAACAACAAAATCACTTACTGCTTTCCTCTCTTTATGTTATCATCGGAATCAGAATCTTCTGCTTCTTTTAGCTGTGTTTCGTTTTTCTCTTCCTCCAAATCTTCTTGGTTAAAACCCTGAAGGCACAAGTTAGCCCATCACAATCATCCTACAGATTTCCTTTTGTAAACAACTCTCAATTTTTCATGTTAAAATAATATATCCACAAAAAACAAAGAATACTGAATAGGTATCAAAAAGGATGTAACAAAAGCTCCCTCCTTACTCCCAATCTGGGGAATTTTTTTTGTTCCACAAAAATCCATACCTGTATGAGCACTTTCATGCTCTAGTGTCTCCTTTTAATATATATGCCAGTATAATATCGATAGCGGGCAGGGGAGACTGTCCTGCATGTTCCAAATTCTACAACCTAAAATACTTCTATTCTTTGTAAGGCTTGTACTATTTCACTGTAAGTATTATAGAACTGCTGCACAGAAACAAAACAATATGTACTTAAAACAAATAGTCCCATCTTATACTTACTGTAAATTCCTCTTCCTCTTCATCACCAGATTCTCCAAATATATCTGCAATAAGATTTCTAGAAAAGCAAATACAAGAAGATTCATCCGCTCACATTTGCATATGTATCATTTTTACAAACAAGGTATAATTATGGACAGTAAAATGTGGAGATCTTAGGCATCTAGTTCAGCGGGCTGTAGCAAACACTCATATAACCAGTGCTCTACTCACGAAGCCTACTTCCCCAGAACTCTCTGCACAGCCGTTTCTTACTCAGGCAGTGCAGAACCCAGAGGTGAAGGTGTGTTGTTTTCTGTTGTTTCAAATACTCTGACTGAATTACATCCCCAGCCCTTGACAGCCCTTTTAAATTGGCCTTCCACAACCAAACCCAGAGTTAACATGATTACTGACCCCAGCACCATGTTTTACCAGTTCTTAAACTTCATGTAAATGGAGCCATAAAACACTCCTTTTATCGCCTTCAGTCAACATAATTTTAAGACCCACTCATGTTGTAGTTTGTGTAGTAATACTTCAGCTCAAGTCCTACACGGCCAAAGCCATTTTACTTCGCAAGGTCCCTTAAAAACCCCATGTTCTCACTTACTCTTCTTCATTGCCTGATTCACTATCACTCCCAAACAGATCCTTCTCTTCATTCTTCTTTACAGAAGACTCTTCTTTCCCAACTTCTTCTTCACTGTCAGATGGTACTGTCTTCTCTCTTTTGCCTGACTTGTCGGATACAACATCACTATCAGAGTCATCAGCATCAGAGACAACTCGACTCTTCTTTGCTGCTGTTGGAAAATACAATCATTCGTGGCCAGCTAGAGGCCCGATACACAAAAACGAAAAACCAAAGACAACTCTGATACACATCATTAGATACCTGGACAAACCTCAGACCATACATAAGAAAATTCAACTGACCATCTCCAATCCATAGAACTAACAATCTCCGATTTTCAAGGAACCATAAAAAAAAAACTATTTCCATACCTCAACTTTTTTCTTTTTATGTAACTTTTCCCCTACACATTTAGGCACTTTTTTTTTTTTTAATTTAAGTATACTAAAACTGGTTTTTCAAGACAGGGTTTCTATGTATAACAGCCTTGCCTAGAACTTGCTTTGTAATTCACACTGGCCTTGAACTCACAGAGATCTGCCTGCCTCTGCCTTCTGAGTGCTAGGATTAAAAATATATACTACCACCAGCAAACTCTGGATTGAACTTTTAATTTGGGCTATTACTAATTTAAATATTCACAATTTGTTTATGTATTTTATTACCATTCTTGGACAATACCTTTCTTTTCCTTAGCTTTATATTTTTCTGTTTGGCCCCTAAACCTCTGTCTTCCTTGCCCCATTAGTCTAGCTTTCCTTACTGTCTTTAAAAAAACAATTTTTACATTTAATTAATTTTGTTTTTGAATTTTTTACTACTTAAGTGATTGTTTCCTTTTAAAATTTTCTCCTAATTTCCTGTTCCCCTCTAAAACAGGTTTCATCTGTTATTCCTTGTTTCTCTTTTCCTGCCCTTCCCCTGCCTTCCTTTACCTCTCTATTTCCATCCTTGCCCTAGGTAATTTCTGACTTCACAGCACGCTCTCCAGTAATGCTGCCATTCCCAGTCCTCTGCCCAGCGGTGTATTAGGTGCAATGGCTAATTTTAAGCATCTTTCTAGATCTTGTATGATGATGCTGCTCCTACAGCAGTTTGTCTCCTTTTCACTTACTTTTACTTACTTTATGCCTTCAAGAATAGATTGCTCAGGAAAATGACTCCCACAGTATTATAAGTCACCACACAGAAATACAAGAAATGTGAACGGGAAAAGCCACATGACTCCTCAATTATCGAAATCAAAGATACTGAAGTAGCTAAAATAGAAAGCAAAAGTTTCAAAACTTTCCTAGTAAAATGATCAATGACCTAACAGGCTACAAAGCAGACGAATTTGATCCATACCCTAGAGAGCTACTGAGGAACACACAGGAGAAAAACCTGAATGGAAAAGTCAGCAACACAGAAGAAAAAATCCGCAAGAAAATTGAGATTTTAGGTGAGGGATAAGGAGAGAAAATAAGGGAAAATTTAGAAATTTGTTTCTAAATTGTTAGAAACAAAACCTCAGTATATGAAATATGACCAAAAGAGCATTGTTTTCTGCTATAACAACTGTTATTACAAAGGAATGTATTTTTTTTCTATAAAAGACAAGTTGCATAAAGAAATATTAAGAACTATTACGTGTGAAGATAGAGTCTGAGACAGTAAACACTAACACTCTGTGGAGCTATGGTCTCTAAATAGAGCCCTCTAAGCCTTCTCGTATGTGGGTCCTCAACAATGTTTTAACATTTAACAAGGAAGGACTTCTGAAGCTCAGTTCCTATCCGAGTGAAATTCAAATTAACAGTTGCAGAGAATCCCAGCCCACTATAGATACAGATAGGAGTTTTCATGTGAATATATTTCTTTAAAATATTGGCTTTTCTAGGAAAGAAAACTGAAGTCTTTTATATTGACAATTAAACCATCCTTTCAAACACACAGAAGTTAATATAGTGAAGTTAGAATAACTCAAAGGAAATTTAGCCAATGATAGCCAAGGAAAATGAGTGTTTTCATTATGTTTAAGAATATCATGCTAGGTGTTGGGGTTTAATTCAGAGGTTCAGCACCTGCCTACTACCAGGCATTTGACCTTTAGCTTCTAAAGATAAAAAATTAAAAAAAATTAAAAATAAGGCAATTAGAAGATCATGTTGGAAAACAATACAAATCTAATATTTAACATTAACTGTAGAGATTCAAAGCCAGTCAAAGTGCTGAGAATAAGTGACTATTGAATGTTCAACCATAAACAAGACATCTGTATCACTCCCTCTGAGTCTCAGAAAATAAATAAGGTAGAAACAACAGGGAACGCCTCAGAGTCAGAGGAAGTAGGAGGTGGTGAGGATTGGAAACTTCCAATCATGACATGGCTATTGCACCCTTGTCACAACAGCTATGAACACCCGCCCAAAACTGGACCATCAATGTATGGTCATGTAGGGGATGAATTTCTGAAGCCCCATCCTCCCTGATGACTTATACTCAGTTAATAGTTGGTGGAAAGGAGAAATATTTTCTTGAGTAGTGGAGCCACTGGAAAGGCACAAGACTTCCATAAAGTAAACATAAAAAAGCTCCTTTGGTTACAAAACAAAAAGTAGCCATAAAAATGAGAAAGTATGAGAGGACCAGTGGGAGTTGGACAAGACAGGATAATGAGATTAAGTATGACTAAAATATATTATGTACTTATGCGAAAAGGCCATGAATAAACATTACAATTACTATATGCTAATAAAACATACCAGAAGAGGACCCAGTATTTTAGTTATAACTAGAGACAATAAGGAAAGCGACAGTCCCATAGGATTCCTTACATGTTTTGCTGTCGTCCTCACTATCAGAAAGCACAGCAGCCTTCCGCTTTGCTACTTTCTCCTCATCCCCCTCCTTTTCTTCATCATCATCACTGTCAATTTTTTGCCTTTTGGGTTCCTCCTCCTCACTGTCAGAGCTGTGGAGTCCTTTTCTATCTGTATGGCCGTCTGACTCATTCTGCACTTCAGAATCTTCCCTCTTATTCTCCCCATCACTGTCCTCTGATTCTGCTTTTTCTTTGTGTCTGGAGGCATCCTCAGCTTCAGAGTCACTAGCAGGTTCTTTCTGAGGGTCCTCGCTTTCTGAGTCGCTGACTCGGGGTTTGGGGAGCTCCTCGCTTTCCGAGTCACTGGCCTGGGGCCTTGGAGGATCCTCACTTTCTGAGTCGCTGACTCGGGGTTTGGGGAGCTCCTCGCTTTCCGAGTCACTGGCCTGGGGTCTTGGAGGATCCTCACTTTCCGAGTCACTGATTCGAGGTTTGGGGAGCTCCTCGCTTTCTGAATCACTTATCCGAGGTTTGGGAGGCTCCTCGTTTTCTGAGTCACTGGCCTGGGGCCTTGGGGGATCTTCGCTGTCAGACTCGCTGACCTGAGGCTGCAGAGTGTCCTCAGTTTCAGAGTCACTGGCTATATGCTTTCTAACCTCTTCCTTTTCAGAGTCACTTGCATGCCCATTAAGAAGCTCTTCATTTTCAGAGTCGCTCCCACGCTGGTTGACAGCTTCATTTTCAGAATCACTGGCAGGAGACTCTGCATGTTCCTCAGATTCAGAGTCACTGTCCTTTGGCCTGTGAAGCTCCTCACTTTCAGAGTCACTGGCATTAACATTAGAGGGCTCATCATTCTCAGAATCTGTTCCATTATGTATCTTGGTCAAACCATCTTCTCTATCACTAGTTTCATTCTGAAAAATTTAGAAAAAATTAGCAATGTCAAAAAAAAGGGAGGGAAACTTTACAAATTTTCATCATTTTTTAAAAAAAATGTAGGAATTTGTCCTATACCTATACAGACACATCCCTTTAACTAAGGCCAGTCTGTGAAATGAACTGTCAGTCTGTCCCCCAAAGAGAAGTATAATCAAGTCTGCATAGCATACTCCCAGATGTAGGGCATCTCGGTTTTTTAGATTTATTTATTTTATTTATGAGTACACTATTGCTGTCTTCGGACACACCAGAAGAGGGCATCCAATCTCATTACGGATGGTTGTGAGCCACCATGTGGTTGCTGGGATTTGAACTCAGGACCTCTGGAAGAGCAGTCAGTGCTCTTAACCGCTGAGCCATCTCTCCAGCCCCATCTCGGTTTTTTAAAATGGAGCCTTAATTCCCCACATAATTCTAGTTACCCAAAGAAATCACTACAGTCAATTCAGAAGTGAGATCTTTATAGGACTACAGGAATATGTTTCTCAAGAAGAAACCAAGAAGTCTAGCATAAAGTTTAGATAAAGATAGTTTGGATTTGCCCTGAAAAATGGTTTTCATTTTATTACCATTGCAACAGCACAGCAGAAATGATAACTGCTATACATATTCACTGAAATATAACAAATTTAGAAAACTTTATAAAATTGTAAGCTTTTCAAAATTCCTAAAGGCATTTTTTCTTGAGCTCTCAGTAAGCACTCAGCTTGATTCCTTGTCACTGAGGAAGCAGGCATTTAGTAAGTGCGCATAGAGACTGCAGGAAGAACATGCAATCTTAGGAGGACTGAGCATTCACCTTAGCACACTTATTTCAGAAGAGTGTAGTTGAAAAATTATGCAGAAAGTCATCTAAAAAAGCAGGCATTTTAAACTGTTTTCATCACAGAGGTCTATCACTAGAGCACAGAATGCTCTCTAGTACACAGGTACATACACATTTGGTGAATGAATAAGAAAGGATTAAAAGGATATACAAAATTAAAAAAATTAAATACACATTTATTTAATGAACACTATGCTCAAAGTTGTGGATGTTTCCCAGGTCCTGACCCTAAGGAAGTATTTGTCTAAAGAGAAGTTAGAGAAACACAAGAGAATACATAATAATTTGATCCACCACCATAAAGCTATACAAGATATTTTGAAAATGGTGCGTGTGTGTGTGTGTGTGTGTGTGTGTATAAAATTTATATTTGGGGGAGGGTCAAAGGTATTCAGACAGGGTTTCTCTGTGTAGTCCTAGCTGTCCTGGAACTCACTCTGTAGACCAGGCTGGCCTTGAACAGAGAGATCTGTCTGCCTGCCTCTATCTCTTGAGTGCTAGGGCCAAAGGTGTGCACCACACGAACACCTGTCTCCTATCATTTTTACTTCTTAGACTTTTTTTTTAGTACTGATAACTGAACTCAGGACTTCACACATGCTAGGTCAGTCTACTACTCAGCTCTACCCCAGCGCCACACCCCTTTTGGGAGGTGTTTTCAAGACAGGGTTTGTGTGTGTAGCTCTGGCTGTTCTGGAACTCACTCTGTAGACCAGGCTGGCCTCCATCTCAGAGATCCTCCTGCCTCTCTGCCTTTCAAGTACTGGGATTAAAGACAAGCACCACCACCACCTGTCTTATTATTTTTTAAATGAGCTTTAATAAATATCCAGACCCCCCTCCATTACGTGGCATGAAGGGAAGAAACAGAGCAATCACTTCCGTCAAGGAAGAGCTAGTTCTGGGCATTAAGGCACACATCTTTAATCTCAAAACCTGGGAAACAAAAGCAGTGAGATCTCTAGGAGCACAAGGCTAGCCTGGTTTAAATAGTGGAGTCCCAGGCCAACCAGAGCTATATAGTGAGACCCTGTCCCAAAACAAACAAAACCAAAAAGAAAAAAAAAGAGGAAGAACTAGTCAATAGACTCAAGCAGGAGGCAAAGACATTACAGAATTTGAGAAGACTATATTAGAAACAGAAACTATGTAAACCTTTTAAACTTTTAAAAGGTTTAAAAGCTATCAAAATATTTTATAATTTGACTTTTTAGCAATCAAACTGAAAAGTTAAAACTTTTTTAAAACTTAGAAATGAGACATGAGTATAAAAAACATTACAAATTATCACAAAATTTCTTAAGAAACATTGTTTTTATTCAAACAGAGTCCAAAGTATCTCAGACAGGCCTCAGGCTTGCTACATAGCTGAGGCTAGATAACCTTGAACTTCTGATCCTTCCTGCTTCTACTTCCTGAGAGCTGGGGTTATGGGCATGCACAACTACATCTAGTTTATACAGTACTAGGTATTGTACTCAGGGTCTTATAACATTCTAAACAAGCATACTCTATTTACTGAGCTACACCTCTAGTCCAAATGTCATCTGAAGGCAAAAAATTCCTACTTAGAATAGTCAGAAAAAAACTGAGCACTTTGAGGGTCTGTGGTCCAAGCTTTGTTTGCAATAATTCATACTGCAGTTGTAAATAACTACTGGTCATCTATCATAACAATCTTGTTCATTTCAGCATTCAAATAGCACTCACATTCTTACAGACTAGGTCTATAGCATATAATAGAAATAACTGACCTTTTGGTTGTAAGCCTTAGTCTTTAACTGCTGAATCATCTCCTAGCCTCAACTGACATTCTTAAAGTACAAATTGCTGTTAAGCAATGATTTGTAATATGAGGGGAGGACAGGAGAAAGAAGAGGAGAGTCTTTAAGAATAACCACAAGCCACGCAGTGGTAGTACATGCCTTTAATCCCAGCACTTGGGAGGCAGAGGCAGGTGGATTTCTGAGTTTGAGGCCAGCCTGGTCTACAGAGTGAGTTCCAGGACAGCCCAGGCTACACAGAGAAACCCTGTCTCAAAAAACCAAAAAACAAAACAAAACAAAACAAACAAACAAAACAAGAATAACCATAAAATAGCACAATGCTATCAATCCAACGTAAACTCCCAGAGAGAACTGGAATGTCTTAAAACTTCATTTTTTTTTAACCATAAAAACATAAAAAAAACCAAAGCTACATTTTAGAACATCCCCTTGTCTGTCAAAAGCTACCTTACAATGTTAAAAAACAAAAGCAGTCCTGATGAATAAAAAAACTCATTTTACACATATCTGCAGGCTCTATAATAAGGAAAACAACCCCATCTGCCTCCCCTAACTCACACTCCTGTTCTGACACAGAACCCATGTCACTGTTGGTTCCATGTCCTTCACACATGCTGTGTTCTTTGTTTGAATCTAATCATGTTTTCCTTTTCATAAACTCAGCAGCCATAAAGTTTAGCAAGAATACTCCTCACATGAAGCCTTCCTTTTCCATCTTCCATTCTAGAAAGAATAGATTTGGGGCAATGTAAAATGAAAGTTAAGAACAGAGACTTGAGCCACAGCACAGCTTGGAGCCCTGCCACTTTTATCCTGTGACCTAGGGAAATTTGCTCAATGCCTCAAAGCTTCTTCCTCCACTATGTGATAGTCAGAGACAGTAATACTTTTTTCTTTTTTCCTTCCCGTCTGCCCATTCGTCTGTTCATTTGTTTTTCAAGACAGGGTTTCTCTGTGTAGCACCAGCTCTCCTGGAACTCACTCTGTAGACCAGGCTGGCTTCAAACTCACAGAGATACACCTGCCCTGCCTCCCAAGTGCTGCGATTAAAGCCTAGCTAGTAACTGTACTTTAAAGAGCTGCTCTAAACATTAAATGCATGAAACCTTTACTAGTTATAATTATTAATCATAAAATCTTTTTAAAAATGCATTTATTATATTTATATGAGTACACTGTAGCTTTTTTCAGACACATCAGAAGAGGACATCAGATTCTATTACAGATGTTTGTGAGCCACCATGTAGTTGCTGGGCACTGAACTCATGACCTCTGGAAGAGCAGCAGTCAGTGCTCTTAACTACTGAACCATCTCTCCAGCCCTATAAAATCTTTCAAGACACAGTACAACATATCCTATGGCAGTAGAGCTAGTTAGTCATTACTCTTCCATACCCCACAGCACCTTCTATTTCTACATCGCCAAAAAAATGAGATTCTACCACTTCCATCATACACTGACCTTAAGATCAGAGACAACTTTTTCAAATTAAAAAATTTTTGTATTTATTTTATATGCATGACTGTTTTGCCTTCAGAGAAAATTTTATGTATATAAGTATGTAAGTGCACTGCATGTGTGTCTGGTGCCTGCAGAGCCAGAAGGAGCCATCAGATCCCCTGGACCTGGAGTTACAGGTGGTTGTGAGCCAACATGTGAGTTCTAGGAACTGAATCTGTGTCCTCTCAAAGAGCAACAAGTGCTCTAAATCACTGAGCCATCTCTCTAACCACCTATTTTTTTACATCATGAAACAGTACTTGTATAAAATTCCATACAAAGGGAGTCAGAAAGATGACTCTGGCTAAGAGCACTTACTGCTCTTCCAGATGACCTGCATTCTGTTCCCAGTACCCACATGGTGGCTCACAACTAATTCCAATTTGAGGATATCTGATGTTCTCTTCTGGCCTCATAGAAGCTGAACACAGCCTGATCTACAGAGCGAGTTCCAAGCTAGCCATATTTTCTGGCTCTGTTTCAAAAACAAAGTTTCTAGACAGCACACAATTTGAAAATATCATGGGTTTTTGTTACATTTCATTTTCCAAGAGTAACATGCAGACATGATGTGATATTTCATAACTTTCTCTCTGTACAGTAGTAACTCTGGTTTCCATTCTGTGCAAGGTTTGCTCTTACTAGGATGTCAAAAAACATTAAGACTGGGTCTACAAGAGGCAAGAGTTGCCAAACAGCAGTAACATGGTCCTCCTTCACACTCTAGAATGGGCCAGGGGAAGTTCAATGACCTTCAGCAAGGAATCTCTAGACTCCTCTCAATCAGGTAAAAACTACATCTTAGGGTGGGGATGGAAACTGAGGCTATCTTCACAGAAACCTGTGGCCACTCCACTGTGAGATCAGACCAATCTGGTCACCACTAAGTAAATCCCACTGACTGGTTGATTCCTGCTGCTACTAATATGCACTCCTCAACTCTCCAACGCTAAAAGAAAGGAAGGTTTTTGGGTCTAACATTGAACAGGGAGAGATACATGAACATTAATGACACTAAACACTTTATTCTCTGTCAAATGTTTGCAGAAACCATTTTTAATATGGAAAGGTCCTGGCAACCAGAAAATAAATAAAGTCAAACAAGAACTTCAAGAAGGCACCAAACTTTGTTGACCTCCTCTCTAGTGAAAGCAGTAGGAATTCAAATTTAAAGCCTCTGGAAAAGGTCTCCAGGGAAGAAAAAGTGGAGAAACTTCTAAATTCATCAAGAGGCAGAGTCTATATCTGAACCAAGATTATTTTCCATCTAACCTCACAGCTTATGATTCTAAGATAGAGACCCTATTCTAGACCATCCAATCATAAACCCAGGCCCTACTACCCAATCCCCCTGTAACAGCTTTCTATTTGGAGGAAGCAAGATATCCTGCCTTAACATGACTAGTGTGGAGGCTAAATCCTGGGTTTAATCCTGCTTTCCTGACTTAGGCATCCCATCTTCTGTGCCATCCTTAGTCAAAGGCTGTGTGTACCGTGGACACTGTCACTCTCCCCCAGCTTGTTAAGAATATGGCAATGAGATGCTATCTCATTCCTACTCTGGCTGAAGAGCTCAGCTTCTGGAGCACTGGAAAAAACAAGCTTAACCTAAATCACTCTTGATCACTCCCCAAAGAAATGAACTTCATATATAACCAGATTTAAGGAAATTGAGGCAGAAAGCACTTGAGAAGAGATTCTAGACACCGGCTACACTATAGGAGAGTTAGTTTGCTGGACAGCACCAGGGACTAAGATAATGAGGAAGAGGGGCTAGACTTTACTGGAAGACCCAGGTTTGATTCCCAGCACACACACAGTAGTTCAGAACAGTTTCTAACTCCAGTTCCAAGAGATCAAATACACTCTTCTGGCTCTGCAGATACCGGGAATGAACCTGGTGCTCAGATACACATACAGGCAAAACACACATAAATAATAAAAAAAGACAGCTAGAAGTCATTCTAGGATTGCATCAGAATAATAGTTAACACTGTTTTTAGAAACTACTCATTCCAAGGAGCCAGGATTTGATGGGATTATTTTATAAAGCAATATAAGTCACATGCATTATTCAAAACAAGTACAATCAAGGGGCAGCAAGAAGTTCACTATCCTGGCATGGAGAAGGAAAAAGGTGGCTTTATAGTCTAAAAGCCAAGTAATAGTTAGAGGACCACCAAATATATAGAGAACATTGTGTCTATTACACAAAAACGATACCTTTAAAAAATTTGTTTTTTAGACAGGGAACTCACTTAGTAGCCTAGGCTAGCCTTCTAACTTGTAGCAATCCTGCTTCCAAAGTGCTAGAATTTCAGGCAAGAACCACTTTGGCTGGTTTACCATTTTAAATGTAGTAACAACCCAAGACTTCATACATGCCAAGAACACACTCTACCACTAAGCTATACCATTCATATCCTGTGTCATTTGTAATAAGCAATGTGAGCATCCTTGATTTGGGTTTCAGATGGCAGGGATGAGGCAGAGTCTTGAACTCAATCTTCATCGACACAGGGGTGACTGTACTGTTATATTCATATTATAAAATCATTAAATTACACTTAGTGAGATTCTTAGTAACATGAAGAAATATTTAATATGTTATTTTAAGCAAGGAGATTAAAAATAATATACAGACACAAAATATACATAATATCTTAAGTAACTTAAGATATATATATATAGTTTACATGTGGGGGGGGCTAATATGTAGGAGAAATAATCTCTACTGGCCGTCTCAGACAATATGTCAATCTTAATTTCCTTCTTTAAATGATTTCATTTCCAAGTTATCCACATGTACATTTACTTATTTAAGATATTAATTAGTTATAGACCAGCAACTGTTAATGTTTACCACTAAATATGAGGCTATGAGATGGCCATCTTAACAGGTTCTAAGCTGACACAGACATTGCTTTTTCTTTCAGAGGACCTGGGTTCAATTCCCAGCACCACATGGTTGGTCACATGTGTCCATAACTCCATTCCCAGGACATCTGACATCCTCTTCTGGCCTCTGCAGCTACCAAGCACACACTCAGTATACAGACATACAAGCAGACAAAACACTCAACACACACACACACACACACACACACACACACACACACACACGATGATAAAAACTTAACTCTATTAATAATTCTGTTTTAACATTTTACTTTTAGGGGATAAAGAGATGGTTCAGAGGTTAAGAACACAAGCTGCTCTTCCAAGAGCACTAGGTTCAATTCCTAGCACCCACTTGGCCACTCAGAACTCTCTGTAATTCTAGTTCTAGGGGACCTGATAATCCTTTCTGGCCTCTGAAGGTACCAGGCATGCACATGGTAAACGAACATACATAGAGGGAAAACAGTCACATAAAATATAAAAAAATCTGACTTTTATTATGTGTGTATGTGTGTGTATGTAGAGGTCAGAAAGGAGTGCTAGACTGCTTGAAGCTAGATGTATTCCTGCCATGAGTACTGCACACTGAACTTGGGTCCTTCGGAAGGGAAGCAGGTACTTTTAACCACTGAGCCATCTTCTCAGTCCCTACACTATTAATAATTCTTACCTGTCGTTAATTAAAAATAGAATCTAACTTATTTAAGAGCCTCTAACACTCAGTGACATCAAAACACCTAAACAACAAGCCATTCTAGATCTGCAACTTGCTGACCTCCCATGCTCCTTATAGATACAATCCCGACACTTGCTCCCTGGTGTCTCTTGAGGACTTCAAACATACTACCACTTGAGGTCACTAGCAGGAATGTTCTTCCCCTACAGACACATGCATAAATGGCTATTTCCTTGGCAGCCTTCCTCAACCATTCCCTTTAAATGTCCACTTTGTAATAAGGCCTACACAAACTTACTCAGCATGGAAGACTAGCTTCCATATTTGTATCTTACTTTGCTCTATTTTTGTTCTTTCTCTGTATTTGTCACTTTCTAATAGTCTACACAATTTTAAATATTATATATCATATATAACACATATTTACATATATTTTAAACATATTAAATATACTATATTTATGTATTATATAACATATATAAAATATAAATATATATTGTAAATATATTCTTATGTATAATATAAACATATGATAACAAAATATACAGTAATATAAAAATCATATAAATATATTATTGTAGTAAATAGAATATATATATATATGTGTACATATATATATTAAATTATATATAGTATAACGTCTTTCTCTTTCTATTGGAAAATAAACCCAACAATGGGATTTCGATTCTTAGTCATGTTATGTCCAAAGCACCTTTAAAAAAAAGCATGATACACAGCAAACGATCAGTAAATAAGTTCAATGTATATATGAATGATGTGAATGTATACACTAAAAAAATATTGTAACTGTAATAACAGAGTCAGTATACTACTACTTAAAATTGGACAATCTTCTGTGCTTATATAATAAAAATGTCACTCATAAAATTCTTAGAAAAATCCATTCACCTTTATTATTCCTATCTGCTTCAGCGAATATCTATCAAAGACGTATGGTGATTTACAGAAAAATTACAGTCTTGTGTTATTAATGCTGAAAGGTTATATGACTAGGAAGGTATATTAAGTAGCTTCAAAAATATTTAGGACAAATGTTAATTATTAGTATATAATAAATACAGTTTACCATTTGGCTATTCAACTAAAACAGTTTTTAAAGCTGCATTTGTCATAATTATGATTATACATGCCTGTAATCCCAGCTACATAGGAGTCTGCTAAAGCAGAAGAATCAAAAGTTCAAGACTAGCTTGGGTTACATAAAAAGTTCAAGGCAATTTAGCAAGACTCTGCCTTAATAATAAAAATAAGGCTGTCAAGATGGTTCCATTGGTAAAGGCATCTGCCACTAAAGCTGATAACCTAAATTCAATCCTCAGAACCCACTTGGTGGAAGGGAGAGAACTAATTTCTGCAAGTTTTCCTTCGATCTCCATACCATGGCATGCTCAGCTCTGACCTTCAAATGAATATAATTAAAAAATAAAAGGTAGCTCAGTGGTAGAGTATTTACTTTCCTAGCAGATGCAAAGCCCTGAGTTTAATCCCAAGTAACACAATACAAACCAAAACAAACATAGCAAAGCAGTACATCTGAGTTATAATCCTAGACCTTGCTACAGACCAAACCAGTCTAATTCCCGACATAAACCTTAATAAATGATATCCCCCTGACTATTTCAAGTGGTATTTCTGACTGCTTACTGTCCTTGTCAAATATTATTTAGGGATGGTGAAGCCTACAAATACATCATACACTGAATAAACAGGCATAGCTGAAAACTGCCTAGTATTTGAAATTTAACTCAAGAGAACTTTTTTTCTCTGTGATCATCAGTTGACCAGACTATCCCTACTCATAAATAATCTTCCACTAACTTATACCCTTTCAGGGCATTAGAAGTATAAGGAAAAGCCTCCCCAAAGACACTGTACCTCTGAATGATGGTCTACACTTCCAGTGTCGGATCCAGAGTGCTGCTCGTTTGCATCATCCTCACCATCTGACCCTGAATCCCGCTCATCCTGCACTGGGGTCGCACCACCATCATCTGTTTAAAACAAAACAAAACCCCACTTAGGTATAAGGCGGACGACATCTGTAATATGTTTATGATTACAGTTAAAATGAACATCTACAGCTAAGGTGGGCACACCTGATGTATGAGCCAAGCTTACTACTTTTGAAGAAGCATAGCTAGTGACACAAAGGCTTGGGACGACAGAATACTCGTGTAAGTACTAACAACTACTATCACCTGATGTGGCGCACATAACAGTGAAAACATTTCATAAAGGTGAAGCCCAGAACAAACACTAAATGCAAAATCATCTAAATTATAGTTTCTACTGTTTTATTGTCTATCTTTCTAAGGCATTTACCACCTTCTAATGCACTATGTGACTTAGGGTTTTTTTTTTAACTTTGGACTTTTTTTTGATTCATAACTGAATTTTTGGAGCCCAGAATATTGTATGTTATATGGTTTACAGGAAGTGCTTATGAATGGCGAGCACAAGGAACTTCAGTCCAGAAATAGTGAAAATTCATTGACGTATATAAACTATACTTTGATAGAATGAATAGTAACCTAACCTCAGCCAATACCTTAAAAGTACAAAGCAAATTATCCTCCAGAGGTACTTAGGGATATTGGAAGGTATAAGACTTGATTAGCAGTTTAAGAAATAAATAAGTAAGCAAATAAAGGTTAAATGAAACAGTTAAGTATAAGAAAGCCAAGAAAGTAGTATAAAAATGGAATTATTTTCGTACTAATGAGATATTCAATTCACCTTAACAGTATAGTTTATACCTGGGCATGATGTTGCATGCCTTTAATGCCAGTACTAAAGAAGCAGAGGCATGAGGATCTCTGTGAGTTCGAGGCCAGCCTGGTCTACAGAGTGAGTTCCATGACAGCCAGGGCTGTTACACAGAGAAACCTTGTCTCAAAACAAAACCAAACAAAGTAAAGTTTATAGAGTAACAATTAAAACAAAATAGTTTTGGGAAGTCTTAACAATTGTTATTTCAAACAGTTGAATGACTGGAAAGATGAGGGCAGATAAGAAGTTAAATTACTATTCTGAAGTAATGGGAAAACAATGAATGGCAAAAAAATAAAGATAAAAAAATACATAACTAGAGAGTCTACATTAAGAAAACAGACATAAAAAAATTAAAATCAGAAAAGCAGCTAAACATGCACCTTTAATCCTAGCACTGGGGAGGTAGAGGCAGGCTGATCTCTGTGGATTCCAGGCCAGCCTGGTCTACAAAGTGAGTGTGAGGCCAGTCAGGGCTACAGAGCAACACTCTGTCTTAAAAAAGCCAAACCAAACCAAACCAAACTAAACCAAACCAACAACTCAAACAACTAAAAGGTGCGTGGATGTGTGTGTGTGTGTGTGTGTGTGCGTGTGTGCGCGCACTGCTATCTTTTTGCTACCTCGATTTTTTCTTGTAGCATAGCCTATCCACTATTCACACAGAATTATGTTTGAACTTAATTTTAAAATGCCAATGAACTGAAAAAAATTGTGGTATTTAGAAAAAACAGCAGTTGAGATTCAGGATAACAGAGTCTGTTATCATTACTGCTGTCAAAGTCAAAACAGAAAACAGCTTAATGCTAAATTAGTACAGTACTTTGGATACAGAAAGTCCAAAAGAAATCGGCACACAGCTGTTTTTACCCAGCAGGCCCTTGCCTTGTTCATCTCTAGCGTGCCTAGCATAGTGGAGCCGATTTAGTGTAGAAAGCTCGAAAGTCACTCCAAGTACCAGGGACTCATTCCTTGCTTTAAAATACCTGTGTAAACTTAAAAGATCCCGCCCTTTCTACCGGGAAAACCAGGATTACAGGAGAAAATAAATTAACCCTAACTGGTAAATAAGAGTCTAGAGACGATTTCTGTCCCCCGTCGAACTAGAAATACTCAACTCCTGACAATCCCCTTTAAAGGACGTATCTCCTCCCCGGTAGATAGAAGAGACAACTTGAGCAAAAATCCTTCTTGGACCGGAAGAGATTCCCTTTAGAGTTCCCTCGCCCAGGCTCCAGTCCCGCCCCTCCTCGCCGGTACACCTGAGGAGGCAGAAGGGGACTTTCCAACAGGGCATGGACACTGACAGCGGGCTTTCGGGTGCTGGGTCCTGACGGAGACCTCCTCTCCTTGCTGGAGCGCGAGGCCGAGCCGCAGCGCGGTCCTCCCCGTCCCGACCCACCTGACTGGTCACCGCTGTAGTACTCCGAGTCCATGGCAGGCGGGCTCTCGGCGGGGAGTGTCCGCGCCACGCGCCGCCCCCGTCACGTCCTTCCTGGCGGAGTGACCTCTCCGCAGCGGCGAGCTTCTGCCTCGCTGGAGACTCCGGAGAAGTCGGCAGCGGCGGTCGCCGGCGCTTCGACTAGGAAACCCCAGCTACTAAACAGGGTCGTACCTCACCGGCCGGCAAAGTGAAGAATCGCGTTCAACTTCCCAGAAGCACCTCTGGGGCCAAAATGGCGCCTGCCCACGGCCCTCAGAGAAATGCAATGCGCAGGCGCCGTCACCCTTCTGTCGGCCAATGAGAATATGCTATGGTAATATGACGCCATGGCACCGTCAGGAAAGAGACTGCCGGGAGAATTGAGTGGACGCGGGAAGTTCAGCTTTAGTTAAATACCGGCCTCGGCCCGATTTGGTCTGTCTCCAGTAGTAGTAATGTTACTCGTTTGGCTCTGAGTTTGGGCTTGCCTTGCGAAACATTTTAGTTCTTGCGAAAAATGAAAACCTGCTAAAATTACATTTTACCATTCAGACAACTGTAGTTCCAATTCCTGCCCATAGTTTAGGAAGTAGCGCGTTGTTCTCTGGGACTTGTAGTTCAAAGGTTGGATTCCCTTCGCCAAGAAAGTTAAAAATAAGATAAAGTAATAAAGATGTCTGGTCCTTATAAAACATTTCATGATCTTTCTTCCTTTACAAAATAACTAAAATGGAACTGGAAAAACCATCTGGTCAACAAGTACAGATCTTTGTCTTAAGAGCCCCTGATAGCCAGGAGGTGGTGGAGCAGGCCTTTAATCCCAACACTCAAGAAACAGAGGTAAGGGGATCTCTGAGTTCGAGGCCAGCCTGGTCTACAGAGTAAGTTCCATGACAGCCAAGGCGACACAGAGAAACTTTGGTTTGGCAAAACCACTTAAAAAAAAAATGTTACTTATGACGTTGAAAGCTTAGTTCCCATTCAAAAAGGCTGGTATTGGTGGCACATGCAGAGGCAGGTGGGTTACCATGAGGTTGAGTTCAGCCTGGTCTACAGAGAGAGTTTCAGGACATTGAGAGCTACACAGAGAAACCTTGTCTTAAAACAGTCCCTGATAAAACTTTGATGAGGGAGTATGTAACTACATACTCTGAGTAACCGGTTTCTAATCCGAGTAATCTATCAGGAAGATTTGAGTGATAGTTTGAGACAGTAATGAATTGTACTTTTCGTTGCAACAGCTTAGAGGGGAATTGCAAAATACAAGGATTGAAGATTAGAGCTATCACAATAAAGGGCTCAATAAAAAGGGTTATTCATTTTCCCCAAATGCTCCAGAAGCCTGTCCAGTCTGGTAGAGAGTATCTGGCTTGTGATTCTTCTCTCTCTCTCTCTCTCTCTCTCTCTCTCTCTCTCTCTCTCTCTCTCTCTCTCTCTCTCTCTCTCAAAGCTGTCTGCTGTTCTAGACACCTGATAGATTCATGTAGAAAGAATATTCCTCCCCCAACACAGCACAAAGTCCTCCCTTCTCTGCCATAGTGAGAGTTAATTCCCATCTATTTTGTAATACCATGGCTGCCAGGGAGTTCCCCTGAGTCTGGAGTTTTTCAGTGCCATCCTATACTAGTGTCAGATCAACCTTGATTTGTTGAGCAAGTTGGCTATGTTGTACGTGATGGAGTCCAGTGCTTTTTCCAGTGGCCCCACTATTCCCAACAGGGTTAGAATTAATATGTCATTCCTTTTGGTTCAGACAGGGGTAAACTGGTTTTATTTTATTTTAACAGTTTATTTTAGCCCTAGGGATGATTATAAGACCTGAAACTAAATATACAACTTGGTGCATGGGATCATTAATAGGATACCAAGAGGAGGCACCATTGGGACCTGTGAAAAGGTGCCATTAGGAACTACAGAGTTGGAAATTAGCCTTTGAGATAAGGTTCACGAAATTGGCTGTTCCCACTATTTGTACATGCCAGGCCTAGTGGCAGGGCTTGGATGTGGAATCCTTGGTTAAAGGGATTTTAATGAAGCCAGTGCCCAAGTACGTAGCTCATCTTGTTCTCAGGCAGATCCAACAGTCTTTTCCTAGGTCAGGCTGAAATTTAGAGAGCATTTTGTGGCTACTGTTTATGAGGACAGGCATTTTAAGGAGGGGAGCATTGGAATCCAAGGGGTAGCTTAGGATTTAGCTGGCTTGGTTTTCCTGAGGAGAAATTTTATCATCAGAGAGAGGAATCAAGACTTCATACAGATCCAAACTATGGATGGGGACAGAAATGTCTACAGTTTTTATCCCAAGCAGAGGGTGACTTTTAGAAGGAGGTCCTTGCGATTAGCTAGCCATCTGAGGCCAAACTTTTGCTTTCTAGAATTTGTAAGACCTTTAGCTCAATTATTCATAGTATTTCTTGCTTTTATTTCGCCTGTGTTATGGATACCCAGGTGATTATGACTACTGAATTTGATGTACCCAAGACACCCAAGGAGACAAAAATGGCATAATATCAGTCCTGCAGAAAGGACTGGGGCAGGTCTTCACAAACACCATGTTGAGGCTTGTTCATTTTAACATAACTGTAGCCATTTTATACTCAGACTCCATGTCACTCACAAGGTGAAATTAAGTTCATACTGAAGAATGCTACTAATAAGCCAAAAAGTTATGGTTGTGTCTTAGTTAGGATTTTACTACTGTGAACAGACACCATGACCAAGGCAACTCTTATAAGGACAACATTTAATTGGGACTGGCTTACAGGTTCAGAGGTTCAGTTCATTATCATCAGGGTAGGAGCATGGCAGCATCCAGGTTAACATGGTACAGGCAGAACCAAGAGTTCTACATCTTCATCTGAAGGCTGCTAGGAGAAGACTGGCTTCCAGCAGCTTGGGGGTGGGGAGTGTCTTAAAGCCCATGCCTGCAATGACATACTTCCCTCCAACTAGGCCACACCTACTCAAACAAGGCCACATCACCAAATAGTGCCACTTCCTGGGTCAAGCATATTCAAACCACCACAGGTTGAATCACTTGTACCCTGTTATCTCAATGTTCTGAAATTCCCCTGTTCAGCACCTGTCCACCACCCTTCTCACCTTACTCTGGACCAATCAGCTTAAAGGTTAGCTGATAATACTTTGTCTAGTTAGCCAAAAATGTTGTACCACTTCACTGCTTGCCTTCAGACTGTTGAACCTGTTTTTTTTCTATAAAAAATCTACTCTGAGAACCGACTAGTACTGCAATTAGGCTCCTGAGTCCGTTTTGCAGTCCTGGACGTACACTATACGTACATTCAATAAACCATTCTTGCTTAACTGAGATTGGTGTATGTTTGGTTTGTGTGGCAACTCCCAGATCCCAATAACCAACAGCTGTGCCTGGGACCCTACTGCACATAGCTACAATGTTGCTTGTTTCTATTGAGGAGTCACGACAGGATTCAGAGACCAGAACAATTAGGTTCTCTGTAGCTGCCAAGACCTTATCTCAAAGATATTAAGCTGGTCTTCCTGAATGCAGGTCATCCTTGTCTCCTCCTCCTCCTCCTCCTCCTCCTCCTCCTCCTCCTCCTCCTGCTCCTTTTCTCTGTGCTGCTCTGGCTGCCCTGGAACTTGCTCTGTAGACTATGCTGACCTTGAATTCTTGGAGATCTGCCTGCCTCTCTCTCCCAAGTGCTGGGATTAAAGGTGTCAGTTCTTAATAACAGTAGCCAGACAATGGTGGCCCATGCTTTTTTTTTTTTTTTTAAAAAAAAAAGATTTGGGCCATGTTTTTTTGTTTTGTTTTGTTTGGTTTTTTGTTCTTGTTTTTGTTTTTTGAGGGAGGATAGGACTCAGAGTTAGGACTGAGAGTAAAGGAAGAGGAATTTTATAACTGAGAGGAGGTTCTAAAGAAGGGATGGCACCAAATAGCCCCTAATGTAACAATAATTAGGTAAAAGATGGACAGAAATAAGTCTCTTCCCATCCCTAGTGGGATGTGGGGGGGGGGTGCACACACGCGCATGTGCACGTTTGGCATTGTAGACAGTAAGTCCATAAGGAGAAGAAAGATGATAAAATAGTTAAATACAGAGTTTGCAGACCATCATGGGGGACCAGATAGAAAAAAAACTGGATTTTGTTAGAAGCCTACTGGATAAAAGTTCCCTGGAGCCATAACTCCTCAATAGCATTTGAGAGGAATATCAAGTCAGGGCAGGTCCGAGCATCAACAGATCCTGGTTATCTTTCCGGAAGGATGGAGGGGAGTCAGTTCCCTTGGCTTTTCTGGGGTTAGTCCTTGGAGTCAGTTCCATCTAGCTGTTCTGGAATGGAAGGGCGTTTACTGAATTTTACATACAGTTTTCCAGTTGAGACTGCTCTATATGAAGGGGAAGGTTTTTAAAGATGAGGTAGGTATATCCGGGGTGGGAAGTTTTCTAATTTAGAAGATGTGGACCTCAGAAAAATAATTTTGTGGGGCAGAGGTGTATAGGTTTTTTGATGGGAGGGATCAACCTGAGATCAGATGGGCTGCAGATGTCCTGGCTAGGGACATCTCCTCATTATAGTAATTCCATGAGTGGATGGTGGGAAGTGGTGTCAAGGAGTGAACACAGGGAGTCCTGATGGACAGTCTGCCTTCTAGTGTCCCCATTGTTTGCATGTGGGGCACTCTCATCTCAGGGAGAGGATTGGAGCCCTCATGTTAGACACAGAATTAAAGAACTCCACATACCCAGATCTCATTTCAAAAATATTAAAGCTTGGGGCTGGAGAGATGGCTCTGTAGTTAAGAGCTCTGGCTTCTCTTCCAGAGGACTCAGGTTTAATTCCCAGCACCCATGTGGCTGCTCCAACTGTCTGTAATACCTGTTCCAGGGGATCTGACACCCTTATTCAGACATACATGCAGGCAAAACATCAATGTACATAAAATAAATACATTTTAAAATTTTGAAAGATCTTCCCCAATCTACCAGTCTTATGGAAATATTCTCCAATGAGAATTAGCTAGATGAACCACAGGGCACAGAATTAAAAATAACAATCATACACTTCATCAGAGAATTCAAGGAGTTTAAAGACAACACAAAGTAACAGGTCAAAGACCTTAAAAAGAATTAATGTTGACTGAATGA